ATCACCATTCTATGTATTGTGGTAGGTCTCAGGTCTCATAAGGCTATTTATAGTCATGCCTGTGCAAAATTTCTAAACTCTTTTACAGGTTTTGCTGTGGAGTTTTGCCAGGTCCTTTCTGAAGGACCGTGAGCACATCCTTACCACTATTTTTACTGCTTTGTTTTCCGTGTTTGCGTGCTGCTTACACTCGTAGAGCCTTACATCTACCTGTCAGCAGGGAGATCTGTAAGCACCTTGTTGGGTGACCTCCACTGAATAGCGTAGGACTGCCAAATAGGACTGCCTCCTGGCTGGACAGGGCATGTTTTAAGGCTTTTGGATTGCAAATGTTCCAGTATGAAGCAGACTTTTAAATGCTTCCTGCAGAACCACTGACATTTTCTCCTTTGATTGGGCCACTTGGGAAGATGTTTCTTAATTAGTGTTTTACGACTGTACTTGAAAAAAAGAAGATGCTCCTTTTTTGGGGAGAGGTCATTAAAGTATCATTTGAGTCATCAGCAGTTGATGTTACGTTGTACTTTGCACAAGTTATTTGATGGAGGTCTCTTCTGGGTTTTTTTCTCTTGTGGTTGTTTGGTCTCCATTGAAGGGTAAAGATCTGCTGCTGAACTTCGCACCAAAAGTACTATGATGTTCTGCTTTGCTTCTGGTAGCAGAGCAGAGTTCAGCATAGCAGCTTGCTCAGAGAGATTATATCTTAGGGGCCCTTCTGTAAGAAACCATAAATCCAGTTAGCTATAATGTCTGAAAAATAACGATTCCTTTCTCCTTTTTATTTTCAAGAAACCTTGAGCCAGTAACACAACTGTATGTCAGCGTGGATGCCAGCACCAAAGATAGCCTGAAGAAAATCGACCGTCCACTCTTCAAGGATTTCTGGCAAAGGTTTCTCGACAGTTTAAAGGCCTTGGCTAAAAAGGTACCAAGTCTTTCTCCCCTTTTTTTGGGAGGAGGTTGGGAGATGGAGGGACTCGACAGGCATCTGGGAGCTAAAGCTTGTATCCTTGTTCCTTGCAGTCTGTGGCATTAGGATTGTTAGGCAGCCTAGTCTTAACGAAAAACTTCAGAGGGGTTCTGTGTGGGAATAAATAGTCAACCTGTGCACCAAGAACAGAATGCATTATTATTCAAAGCACAGGGCAGGCAAGTCCCTCCTGAAACCACTTCTGACCACAGCAAGATGGCTGGCGAAAGACCCATAGGAAATGAGAAGTAGCTTGGGAGAGGCCATCAAAACATGTGGTGCTAGCAGTTGTTTCCAAAGCTTTCCCAGGAACTTAGGTCTGTGAAGCAAGTTAAAGTCTAGATGCATTGAATGCTTCCACACTGAGGTGTATGATTGAGCACATCTGGCAGGACTGGAGCTGCCAGTGATAGGTATCATACTTGCCAGCTGTTGGGATCCCTCTTTGGGCCCTCTGCTTGAATGTTTTCTTTAGGACAGGCTGAGGTCTATGTGGTGAGGTAGCTTGTGCCAGCTGCAGATTCATCCCATTTTCCTCACTGAGCCCTACTGACCTAACATGGGTATCATGCAAATTTGCAAGATAGGCGTGTCGCATACAGATTTTCCAGCTATTTATTCACCGATGCTGTGCGCTGCACCAAAAAATTGCTTTTGTTCACATTTCTGGCACAATGTAACATGCTATTTGCCGGGACTGAGCAGACTGGAGAGTCTGTTTGATTTGAAGAATAATCTATGCTGCTTTCTGAGATAACAGCATTTGGACCAAGTCCTGTCAGATTTACTTACATGACGAGGCCCATTGATTTCAATGCAGGTGCCCAAACGCTCTGTCCTGCAAATGCATGCCAATGTCTTTAGTGTGTGGGATCTTCTTGTTTAATTAGGGGCTGAATCCTGGGATAATTGAAGCCAATGACCAATGGAATCAGGATGTGGCTCTTGGGGGGGGCCCAGACCTAACAGGGCCAGGATCTGAGAGCCAGACCTAACATGACAAGAAATAAAAAGAGAGAGAGAGCAAGCGCGTGAGAAAAATGTTGATATATTTGGAAACCTGACTCTGGCTGCCTGAGTTCTTCCCCTCAACCTTGGCTGTATAAGGTACACGCTGCTGGTTGTCAGAAATTGTCCCTCAAAAAGAAAGAAGGTGAATGTATTGGCAGATATGTCCGTAGAGCTAAAAATACCTTTTGGTCAAGGTGAAGTGGAAACAGAACAGCCAGATGGGTTTGGGCTTTTTTTCTCCGTGACAGCTGCTTTGGGGTGTTCTTTTAACATTGATGAGGAAGAAGCCGATTAATAGTAGCCTACAGTAGACCTTCCTAGCAGTGTGGCCTCTTTGCATGTGATGCCATGGCAAATATACAGACAGGTCAAAAGCTATAAAGAGATTTGGGGATTTTTAGGTGCTCTTAATTTTTACAAATGGTTATGGTTGTAGCAGGGACCTAATAAATCTCTTCAGCTGCTTCCAAAGAGGGAGAACCTTTCAGGTTTTCCTCTAAACACATTGTTTGATGTTCAAGTGGGAGATTAAGCACCGTTTCATAGGACTCTGATGAATTAGGTGTGGTGAAAGCTGCTGCAGCTGCTGATATTCTTGAGAAATATGGTTTGTATTACAATAGAGATGTTTGGATAGGGACATGGTAAGGCATTGTGCCGGGGGGAAAGCAAGGCTGTATGTCAGTAAACAAAAGTCCCAAGTTTTGCACCTCGAATTCGGCTGTCATATTTTATACAATTCCTCTGGGACTCAGATAGATTGGTGTTTTGTAGTTTGATGTGAGGTCATTTCTATTAAGA